ATTGAGATGGACTGGGTAAAGCAAGACGAGGTGAAGTACGGAATGGTAAGACGGGTTTGGCTGAGGTGAGGTTAGGTTGAAGTAGATATTACATCCTTAGCCCTATTTGTGTCATCTTTGATTATTTGTTATCATGATTGTTATCATTGTCTATTCTTTAATGTATTAAGTAGATTAGTAGAATGATAATTTTCTTTAGCTGAAAACAATAATATTTGGTATTTAGTTCTTGAATGTATTTTTTCATGATTACAAAATACAGGAGAAGAACTATGTAAATAAATGCTAATGTCTTCTTAGATAAGCTTATTTTGTAGTTTTGTGGTGTGATTTGAAACAAGCCTTTTTTTATGTGTCCTCTTAACCTAGTTTTCCTAGTTTTTTCTGAAAATAGTTCTGCATCCATGGGTTACTCAAATCACTAAAATGAACAATAGAATGATTATATCTTACTGTGTAGTTATAATTATTATCGTTCCCTGATACAGACATCTTATGCCCCATTTCAAAACATTTTCACCCCTTACAATAAAATTTCTCAAGACCTACCAGTGCACGTATGACTCTAATTTTGTTGACCTGTTCCAGAAGAACTGTAATAATATGGTTTCAGATTTATCCCAGTATCACTTTTTTCTGTCCCCCTCTCTAACATTCTCTCCTACCTTCCTCACTGATTTTCTCTACCTTACTACCTTCCCTTCCCAACCAGATCTGTGAGACACAAACCACAGAGGGAGGGCAGTGGACCCTGATTTGGCAGAAGAGCCACCAGGTTCCATACATGTACAAAGACAACATGTGGATATCCTATGATGACACGATGTCTGTTGGACTCAAGGTAGCTTTTGCACAGAAACTTGGGTTGGGTGGCATTATGGTTTGGTCTGTCGACACGGATGACTTCAACGGCAATTGTAGTCAGACAGGGATGAGGTGAGTACTAATGATATTTTTTTCCATACTGTTGTCAGTATTTCTGCATAACAGGTCATGGACTTTATGAGTGATGGTGGAGGATTGCACTCTCTAATTCCATAGAAGTCCATTTTGAGATTGATATTGTCTCTTGATGTATTATTACTGAAGACATTATTATCGTCATTATCGATAAGACTGTAACTGTTATTGTTAATAATTATGAATATGATCTGTTAATTTTCAAATTTTGTATTTGTATTTTATAAATGGTTACCAAATAATTGGATATTACACATCACCATTGATATCAAAGGAAGTTTAATGCAGACTCAAATCTCTTAAAGTTAGAATCTCCTTAGTAAAGACTGTATCACCACAATTGTTTGTATTACTATTGTCATTGATAATATAATAGTAGTAATGATTACATTTTTAATGATTTTACATTCACTGCTCTATTGCTTTTCATCTATCTCTCTCAGCCATCATTCCATACTGATTATTCATGCTTCAATTTCAGATATCCTCTTTTGAATGCAGTGAAGAAAGCCTTGTCATCCCACACAGTCATGAGACCTGGTTCAAGCATTAATGGTAGCATTTCAGAGCAGCTTGTTCCAGATGGCACTGTATTTAAATTTGAACAAGAAACACACATTCCTGATAATACTAGTGTAACCGAACCCGAACTTGAAGGAGAACCTCGTGGTTTTTCAATCGAAGGCATTCTATCTGAAAAGACACCTGAACAAGAACCACATAATGTCCCAGACAGCATCAGTGTATCTGAACCACAATTTGAAGAACCACACAGTGTTCAAGACAGTGTTAGCATATCTAAAACTCTTGAAGACGCTCAAGGTGTTTCAGGCATTGACAGTGTGTCTGACGTAAGACCTGAAGAATCACAAGGTGTTCCAGTAGATGACACTGTGACTGAGATGAATCCTGCAGAACCCCATGGCGTTCCAATTGGTTTCAGTGAATTGGAGGTGACGCCTGAAGGAGAATCACATAATGTTTCGGTTGATGGCACTGTCTCGGAGATCAAACCAGAAGAAGCCCAGGCTGATCCAGTCGATGGCAGTAAATCCGAAGTGAATCCTGAAGAATCTCATGATGTTCCAGTTGATGGAAGTACACTCGAGGAAAATCATGAAGAACCACCTAATGCTGTAAACGATGCTAGGATACCCAAAACTCTTGACGGTCAAGCTCCTTTAGACAATGACAGTGTGTCTGACGTGAAACCTGAAAAATCACAAGGTGTTCCGGAAGACGGCATTGTATCTGAGATGAAACCCGAAGAACCCCATGGTGTGGCAGTTGATGGCAGTGGATTGGAGGCGGTACCTGAAGAACCAATAAGTTTCAACTGATGCATGTCTTTGAGATTAAACCCGAAAGAACCACATGCAGTTCCAAATGATAGCAAGTGTACATATATTAAACCTGAAGAACCACATGTTGTTCCAGTCAATGGCAGTGAACATGAGATCATATCTGAAGAACCACATGTTGTTCCAGTCAATGGCAGTGAACATGAGAATATATCTGAAGAACCACATGTTCCAGTCAA